TTGGGAAAGTGCACTTTGACGCGAGCTAGTCAGCCAGGCACGACCCGCTACAGGCTTTTACTGGCTTATTAGCCGTCATCAGCTTGAGAAAACCTACTCCACTGTTACAGAGGAAATTGCCGCCACACCCGAGTTTCGATCCCGCGACCGTGTTATGTAGAGTTCAATGCTCTCACCACTGGGCTACGGGCCCGACGTCCTACAGGTTGTTGATGGAGACTGTACATTAGAAGATAGGCGTACAGCGATGACTCTCAACCGCAGCCTAATGGTTATGTCACTGGCCCCTAACTAAGAAGGTTGCAGGCTCCAAAATTGGATGTGGCCGCAATTTCCGCTGCTTCAATGGAGTACGATATCTCCAGCTGACGAAGGCCTATTGGTCAGAAGAGGCCTTTCTGAAAGTCCCTATCTTGACGGTAAAATGTCGTAAAATAATAACTTTGTCGGTTAATACCTCGACATGCTTAAGCGTAGTATGATTGGAAACACATTTGCGAAATTGATTTTATCTTTCGATACACTTTACTGGCCAATAACCTCAATTCAGCATAGTTTCATTTAAACCATTGTACACGCCAGTAAATCAAGCCCTTTGAAACCACTAGCTGGGTTCTTGGTGTGAAAGAGGACTGCCGTGGATTATTCCAGATGTAAAATCATTCTAACCGATGTGTGCGTAGAACACTTAACTCAAGGTTCTGGCATTTGATGGTTATCTAGGTGTTTTTAAGCGGGCAAAAAAATACAGTTCTGCGACTGCTGCAAGCAAATTTCCTAAATTTGTAAATTTTTGATTATTTCTCCTATACCAGCGGAACGCATTTAGGTATATAAAGTTCTTAAAAGAACTATAAAAAGAACTAAGGGTTTGTTAAGAAAAATAAAATTTTCTCTATAATTCCCACTTTGTGGAGACATCAAAAATAGCTATCAATTAGAACAATAAATTTAAATATTTTTGTAAGTATAAAATTTAAAGCAACCACTTTCTTTATACATAAAGAACTTGTCTTTAGTCAAAATATTTTGTGCATATGGTAATTAGTCCTTAACTATTTATTGAATATCGCGGCATAAAGTCTCTTCATTTTGCTAGTTTTACGTGCATTTATTCATACGGTTACTAATTGTCCGTTTGGTCGACGTTTACATGAAACCCTAAACTAACTAAACAGTATTTACCGAAAAAACGAGGTTTTGGATATTATTTCCTATGCAGATGGCCATCTTAGTCAAAATTGGTAATGCTTCAAAATAGCAAACCGCATTTTCCAGCATACC